AATTAAAATCACAATAAAATACCACCACACACTCATTAAAAGGAACAGCTAGAATTAAAGACGGATAGTATCAAATATTTGCAAGGATGTAGAGAACTAGAAATCTCATCTATTTCTTGTGGGAATGTAAAATGATAAAATCACTTTGAAAAGAAATTTGGCAATTTTTTAAAATTTTAACAGACATTGCTCCTACTATCTAGCCATTACACCCCTACGTATTTACCTGAGAGAAGTGAAATCATAGATTCACACTAAACATTTGTATATGACTGTTCATAGCAGTTTTGTTTCTGCCTTGGAGGATTTTATCTTAAGACTAAATAAAGAAAATGTTCAGGTTTGTCATGCACAAACTCAGTTTATTGTAATGTAGTCATGATAAGGCACACAAGTAAGACCTCAAGATATTCATTTAGCAGTGAAGAATCAAAACTGACAAATATAATGTTAGTTTAATGTCAGAGTCCAAATCTTTACACTGCAGACATTTACCTTTAATGAGTGGTTTTTGGGGAGGAGACTTGACCACCTCTTGAACCCAGAGGAGGTCTTCCTCAGGTTGATTGTGCTAAGCAATATCTCAGTAAGCTCTTAGTCTTCAGACAGACAATGAGAATTTTCCTTTGGTCTTCTACAAAAATGAACAGAAATTCAAGCCTTATATACCATGTCATATTTAACTATAATTGGTATACTTTATTGCCAGTGAAGACACTGCTGTATGACATTTATGTTTTGTTAACGTATAGAGATTTGAATTATTGCACATTACAGCATGCCATGTTTATGTTCTTCTGTTTACTGCATATGTTTCAAGGCCAATTGAATAATTAAAAATTATGGTAATTGTTTAGTGAAATATTTATACTTTGCTAATTTATGGAGATTTGATTAATGTTCTGTTCCATTATCACAGTGCAGGTGCAGAGGCCATTTTAGGGAAATTATTTTTGACATACTTTATCTATTTCCAAGTTTAGAGCAACTTTTTAATGACTAATATTTAATGGTTAAAAAATGTTATAGAAGTATACATGTTTCCATTTCTGAGGTCAGAAATTCTCTATTTCTTATTTCACATTATAGGTGACTTATATATATGTGTTTAAAAGCATTATAAAAAATCATAACAGTATAAAATCATAGAAGCATATATGATAGTAATTTATATAACTTGAGAGTATTATAAAAGTATAAATAATAATTTCAATAGACAAAAACTTGGAGGGAAAAATAAAAGTAAATATCTATCAATAGGTAAATAGATTAAAAAAAATGGCTTATCCATGGAGCAGCATACTACTCAGAAATAAAAAAAAAATAAACTGCTGACACCTGATAACTCCTCAAACCATTATGCCAAAAGAAAGAACCTATGCACAAAACAGTACATACTATATGATTCATTTTACATAAAATACTAAATAATCTATAGTGAGAATAACAGAAGTTAAGATCAGAAGTTTCCTGGGACCAGGGCCAGAGGGACTGATGGACTTGAATGAGAGATGATGAACATTTTTGGGTACATGAAACTGTTCCATATGTTGATTGTGGTGTTGGTTTCATGGGTACATACCTGTATAATGGTAAGAATTCATTCATTTTTATATGAAGTTTATTATATGTAAATGATTGCCCAATAAAGTTGATAAGGAAAAAATGACAGCATATTTGAAATCAACTCTATACCTCTTCTGAAGCTTGGTTGATAGGCTGGTGTCCTTAGTCGTCATATGAGTTTGTGTGTGCTGAAAGGACTTTAAAAATTTTTAGAGTGGTATTGTTGGACTCAGGTCCTGAAAGGAGTGTCGGCGCGAGGAAGCTACCACTGACACGATAATGCAAAAGCAAAAGGAAAGTTTATTGGCTAGCTCGAGCTAGGGTCTCTGCTTACAATGACGCAGCAGTTTGGGCAAAAGACCCCGTGCTCTCCTACTATTACATTTTTATAGGAAAAATATAGGGTGGAGTAACACCAAGGCAAAGGGGTACAAATGATTGGTTGTTGCTAGGGGGTAGAAAAGGAGGGGAGGGGGTTTGAGGTAAAGCCCTGAGGTGTGGGGGACGTGCTGGAGTCCCTGGCACTAATGACTCCTGGTTAAAGAATAATTACCTGGAGGGGAGGTAAAGCCCTGAGGCATGGGGGACATGCTGGAGTCAGGTAAAGCTCTGAGGCGTGGGGGATGTGCTGGAATCCCCGCACTAAAGACTCCTGGTTAAAGAATAATTACCTGGAGGGCATTAGTACAAAACGAGTGGTCTCACAGTATGAGTTAAAGGATTGCCACTACTATGTCTTGGGAAAGTTGGAAAACTTGTTAAAGGTGACACGGCAGGACTATTGCCCAATTCACCTCCACTCCAAATAATAATAGTAAATCTAACTTTGTTCTTCATTCATGCCAAGGACACGTTTAAGATTTACCTTTTGCTGAGTTTTTCCCTCCAACACTTGAAACACACACACACATTTTTGTGATCTGAAATGAGTTTAAAGAAATCTTTTGCAACTGTAATGAAATACAGAGCCTGGAAATTGAAAATGCAAGAATAAATTCTTATGTAGCCATATGTGTCTATAAATGTACTTTTCTTAATTATATGTACTTTCTTGCTTCTGAAACTGCCATGACATCTTCCTGGCAGGGTGCACTGGTATCCAAGGACAGGGCTGGTCCATGAGATTTTCTCAGGCCATGGGAACTGGGTAACTATTTGGAATCTGGTGAGCTATGTAAAAGAGTTTTAGTCTGTGGCAGTAATATGCAAATCTTTGAGTTTCAATTATATCCCTGAAATTTTCTTTGGATTTGAGAATCAAATGAACTCTTAGATCCCTAGATCCCACTTAAATAAACAGGAAAAAAAAAAAAAACCCACCCTGCTTTTTCTGGTTCTGTAAAACAGTGTCTAGTTCTTCATCTTATATTTCACTCCTTTGAATGTGATCTGAACTCTATAGGTGAAATAAATAAGGGTTCTAAGATCCATATGCATATTGCTCAAGGTCATGCAGAAGGTAAAATTAAATTAAATAAACTGACTGAGTTTGGACAAAGCCACTAAGTTTCTTTTGGATTTATTTTAAAACCATAAATGACTATTTTATTTCATGTTTTCAAACACTCAGCAAAGGGTTTCTTGAGATGTGACCTCAGTTTGCTTAAATAAAATAGGCCACTATGATGACATCTTTGTAAAATATGAATTAAAAGTATGACACAAATAGATAGATTGATAGATATTTTCCAGATCTCCCATGTGTCGGACACCAACAGGGCATTACATACACAAGAGACTCATTAAGGGAAATTTCTATACGAGAAAATGGGGAGGGATCCCACGGAGGCATGTGAGCTGTCACATCAAGGTACACGTTGATCTCAGGTGTAGGATGGAAGGGAAGGAAAGATATTGGGTTGAATTGTCTTATTTCAGTTCAGAGGGAGTTTGTCAAACCTGCTGGGGAGACCTTAGACTAAGGACACCCATCTGAAGCGTCCTGCACCATCTTAGACTGGGCCTTCCTTAGTGCTCCTGCCACACCTAGGCCTCAGCTGACAGTCCATGGGAGTCACAGAACAGCTGGTCAGTTTCGTTCCTTGAAGTTGGGGATCTGAGAAACTCCAACTGCCACAGATAGAGAGATGATAGAGAGATAGAGAGGACAGAGCAGGATTGGAAAGCACAAATATATAAATTTACAGTAGTTATCTCTGAGAGGGATTATGGGACATTTTTTTTTTTTTTTTTCCTTTGTGCTTTTATATTTTCTAAAAGTTCTATACTTCAACATGTATACTTGTAAGCAACTGTGGTTTGTTATTTTGGCAGGTCTTGTTCTATAATAAAAAAATCTTTTAATAATTTCAGAAATATAAAATGCTTTAGGGGTGCATGTGTACGTGTGTCTGTGTCTGTGTCTGTGTCTGTGTGCTTGGGCCAGTTTGCACTAGGTTGATTCTTTTCAATCTTGCTGAGCATCTTGTCTTCCCATAAAAAATTAAAATAAAAAAAATCAAACACTAGAAACTTCTCTTTCAAAAAAGCAAGGCGAAAAATCAAAAACTAAACCCAATACCATCAAGTTAATTCTGACTCCCAGTGAACCTATTGGACAGAGTAGAACTGCCTCATCTTTCTGGTAGCAGAGTGTCTCATCTTTCTGCCACTGAGTAGCTGATGGGTTTGAACCCAAAATTTAACTAAACGAGGCCACATCTCAACTACTATGGTTAGTAGTTGAACGTCTTAACCATTGTACCACCAAAGCTCCTGTGAGAAGGAGGAGAGTCTGTTTAAAACCTTCTATCCACATTCATTTACCTCACCAATCTTATTAGCTACCGGCTGCTTATTACATTAAAAAGCCAGAACTAATCCATGTGCTCAAATTATATGTTCTAAACTCTCTGAAGAAACACAATGAAATTACTTTGGGGGAGAGGGGCAGTCACAGATTAAAAACTAAAAACCAAACTCACTATCGGCAAGTAGGTTTCCGAGGCGGTATCACTACAGAAGTAGATTGCCCAACCTTCCTTCCGAGGAGTGCTGGTGGGTTTGAACAGCCAGATTAGGACCTTGTAAAATGCAAAAGGAAGTTATTTGAGAGCTTGTAACTACTTTATAATACAAGTTCATTCAACTGTATGGTCTTCTGGGTTATAGAAGCCTGTGTGACAAAGGAAGGTTCATGTAGATCGAACCTGTGAGCAGAGAAGCCAATGTTTGCCCTCCCGTCCCCTTTCCCCATCAACAAAACCCATTAGCAATGATGCATCCTACTTGAGGGTCAGTGCTGGCACACAGTAAATGCTCAGTGATTGAAAGCTGCTTGTATCATACTTTTTATTCACAGAAATGAAAGAAATTTATATTGATTAATTAATATTAATTATTAATGTTAGTATCTTTTGTGTGATTTATTGTTGTAGAAAGTATTCCTAATTCATGTTCATTCTCCTTGTTTCCTTTCTTTTTTTTCCCTTTAGGTCTTATACAATATATTAATTGCTTTCACAAAGATGCACAAATTTGAAGACATAGAACCTGTTGACATTTTGGCTGGATGTGCCAGGTTCATTATTGTGGGACTTGGGGGAGTATTTTTTGGCATCATTTTTGGATTCATTTCTGCTTTTATCACACGCTTCACTCAGAATATATCTGCAATTGAACCACTCATCGTCTTCATGTTCAGTTATTTGTCCTACTTGGTTGCTGAAACTCTCTACCTCTCTGGCATCCTGGCGTGAGTACAAACCAAGGATAAACTCTCAGAGGTGTAAGAGACAATTCAGAACAATATTGTGTGGACAAAGCATCTGGAAAAGGCAGGACTTCTGAAGCTAATCCTCCAAGGTGTCGCAGGATTCAGTAGTTTTAAACTTTTGTAAGGTCTGACTCAGGTGCTTTGCCAAACAAATGTTCTCTCCAACATTTGCATTTGCTCTCTTCTCATTATTTGCCTGAGGAGAGCATGGTAATTATAAGGTCAATTCAGAATGGTCAGAAAACCTGATGCTAAAAAGAGCAGGGAGAAAGCTCAGGTTAAATTCTCATATCAGTGGTTATTTTCTTCCTTGAAAAATTAATTATTGTAAAGTTAAAGGGAAGCATGCTATGATGAACTGTGGATCCTGGACTTGGCCTTTAGCCTTTTTGCTCAAACCACATAGCGCACCATGACTCTGCAGTGTGGACTGAAACTAGGTTGATGGAATAAGACTAGGAATTTTTATTTTTTTTTCCTAATGAAAATATGTTTAACTGTTTATCTTTGCATAGATGTTGGTATATGGCCTTTCAACTTGGTTTAGTATGTCTTGCCATATTCTTATTTTTATGATGGTATCTTCAGACCCTGTGACTCAGAAAGAAAGATTTAATAAAAATTTCTATTTTAATTATATCTAGTAGTGTAAACTCTAGACCTCCATCACCTTCCCAGCTAGAAAATGATCAAAACTGCTAAGACAAGCACACTTCTTCTTTTTTTACCATAATTGCTAGGTGGCTGCAGTATAGAAGTATTTTGAATTAAAAATTCCTCATAAAATGATTGTAAGAAATACTGTTCACTTGGAGGAAATGAGGACCTTGGTAAATTATTCTTTTTAGGCAACTGAAATGAATCTATTTAGTTTAAGGGAAAGTGAAGTAGAAAAGAAAAGATGGAACTGGCAAAGCTCATGCTGAGGGAAGGTACTATAGAAACCAGTCTACTTCTGACTTACCCACATGAATTACATGCTACTTGAAAGGAGCTCTGGTAGTATAGGGGGTAACACATTTGGCTGCTAACCAGAAGGCCCACAGCTCAAATCTACCAGTTGCTTTGCTGGAGGAAGATGAGGTAATCTACTTCCACAAAGATTTATAGCCTTGGAAACCCAATGGGGTCACTGTGAGTCAGAATCGACTCAATGGCAGTGGGTTTGGTTTTTGGTATTTTATTGTGATGAACTCATACCCTGTACCCCTTCCCACCACCCTCTTCTTTACCTTATGGAAACCCCTTGAGGAAGAAAAGGAAGGAAAAAAAAGAAAAAAACAGTCTGTGGAAAGTCTGCAGCCAGAGAAGGGGATTGGAAGAGACATTCTGAAATACAATAGAATTTGCATCCCTGTGGCACTGCTGATAGGGAGGAATTTTAATGCAATGGAAAAAACTTGATTCTCTCTTAGACTCTGTTTTTTTCACAGAATCACGGCCTGTGCAGTGACAATGAAAAAATACGTGGAAGAAAATGTGTCCCAGACATCGTACACGACCATCAAGTATTTCATGAAGATGCTGAGCAGTGTCAGCGAGACCCTGATCTTCATCTTCATGGGCGTGTCCACCGTTGGAAAGAACCATGAATGGAACTGGGCCTTTGTCTGTTTCACCCTGGTTTTCTGCCAGATTTGGAGAGCCATTAGTAAGAAACTTCAGGGGCCCTCAAGAGTCTCCTGCCTTTTTATTTTTTCTTGTGCATCCCTTCAATGTAAAAATAAATAAATAAGTAGCAAGTTGGTGCTAACTGGTTTTACTGGTTAGGGGAGTACAGGCATCATGTAGTGACCAGGAATGCTTTCTATTTGCTCAATCAATCAGCTCAAAGTAATTAGTGTTTGATAAGATTCTGCACTGATTTGGCTGGAGCAAAGGAGTACTTATTTAATTGAAGAGAGAAGTTTCACATCAACACATTTAAATATAACTCAGTAAATTTATCCTTGTTCTCTTCACTTCTTTGCCAATTTTTACCCTCTTGCACCTTAAATCATATATAGATTATGAACTGTGGGTATTTACACTTTTGTTACAGGAAAAGTGAGATTTCACAAATTGTATTTTATGTCATGCAAGGATTGTTAGAAAATAGTTCATTAAATAGTATAGGCAGTTTTATTTGAGGGTTCAGTGTATATGTATGTGTGTATGATATATATAGAAAACCAAAGACAAGTAAATGAATCTTCATTTTAAAAAGTGCTTAGTATTCATATGGGAACTGTAAGGCAACTCTATGATACAACTGTAGTCACCCCTATAACATAATCCTAGTTTTAAAAAATGAGGTGTCTTGAGTAGTGGCTGCTGATTTCTGTTTTAAGATCTAAAGAACAGCATTGAATACTGAACTACAATATGTATGTTGCCCTTTGTCTAGAAGTCATTATATTTTAAAATGACTTTGATATTTGAAGCTGAAGACTCAGTGCTACTGGAGTCATCAAGACAATTACTCAAAGAGAAATTAGGAGAAATGGTTGAGAAACTATCTTGAATGTATCAAACAGAATCTAGGAAAGGATAACAAGAATGAAGAAATATTAAAATATTCATGAAAGTAACTCAAAATATATATGCCGTTTGGGCCTCAGGAGAGAAATGGGGAAAAAAAAAAAAAGCATATAGTTTATAATCTCAGTTCAAGTCCGGGCACTATTAGTCGTTAACTATTTGACCTTGGACAAGACATTTAACTGCTAATAATCTTTTTCTTCAACCACAAAATAATAGGTTTGGACAAGAAAGAATTCTCAGGTCCCTTTTAGTTTTAACATTCCATGAGTTTATAGGGAAGTAGAGGTAATGTGAAGGGAGGCAATACTGCATATAGGTTAAGCCCAACCAACAAGAAGAGGAACCATATAGGCAATGAATAATAGGGTGGATACTTCAACATTAAAGGAGCTCTGGTGGTAGTCAAATGCCTTAGACATTTGACTACCAACCAGAAGGTTGGTATTCAAACCCACTAGGTACTCTGCAGAAGGAAGACTGGGCAAACTACTTCCATAAAGATTTACCAACTCAGAAACCCAATGGCAGTGAGTTTGGTTTTTTTTTTTTTTTTGGTAGTACAGTGCCTAAGGCATTTGACTGCTAACCAGAATGTTGGCGGTTCAAACCCACAAGCTGTTCTGTGGAAGGAACATGGGGCAATTGACTTCCATAAAGATTTACCACCTCAGAACCCCAGTGGTGGTCACTTTGAGTTGGAATCTACTCAATGGCAGTGAATTTCTTTTATACTTATCTCAACATTTTTGACCCTTAGTTTTATAGCTGAGGAAATTGACTCTGATGGAACAGTCACGAGAGTGGATGACCAGCTTGGCTCATATCATAGTGACTGAAAGAGCCAGATGTCAGAATCTGGTTCTCTGACTCTCAACCCTGTTCATTAGCTAATAATAGCTCACATTTATGAAGATTTATAGTAGATGTTGTTGTTGTTAGTTGCCATGGAGTCAATTCCAACTCGTAATGACCCCATTTGTGCAGAGTAGACTGTTCCATAGAGTTTTATTGACTGGACCTATCAGAAGTAGATCACCAGGCCTGCTTTCCAAGGCATCTCTGGGTGAGTTCGACCAACCTACCTTTTGGCTAGTAGTGGAGTGCTTAACTGCTTGTGCCTCCCAGGGACTACAATTATGTAAGGCCCTGGTTTGTGTTCCTTACTAATGTTGTTGTTGTTGCTCTTGTTATATGCCGTCAAGTTGGACCTGACTCATAGCGACCCCTCCCTCCTTGGGTTTCAGAGGCAGTATCACTACGGAAGTAGATTGCCCAACCTCCCTTCCAAGGAGTGGCTGGTGGGTTTGAACCATCAGCCTTCTGGTTAGCAGTCAAGTGCCTTAGGCATTATGCTACCAGAGCTCCCCCTTATAGACAGTAAGTGTATTTATTTAATCCTAATGCATGCCTTTTGAAGTTAATGCTTGTCTTGTCTCCATTGAGCAGATGGGGAAACTGAGGGCATGGAAAAATTATGGACCTTGTTCAAAGTCTTGTAACTATCATGTGGAAGAGCCAAGAAAAACAAAACAAAATGAATAAATAATTTTAAACGTTTTCATCTTTTGTACTATCAATGTCCCAATTGTCAAAGGCAATGTGAAGACTTGCTGTGAGTTTGTTTGGTTGGAAGTTACATGAGGCAATTGCGAGTTGGGGATGGAAGGTCAGTATGGCTAGAAAACACCTCTACGTTTTTAGCAAGCATCATCAGTCACCTCCTCAAGCTTAAAGAACTCACTTTTGAACACTTGACAACTTCCTTTCTTGTTTTCATTGAAGTCAAGAAGGAATGAACTAACATAAAGGATTTTCTCTCTCTGCAGAGACCAGGGCCATGGAGAGAGCTCTACTCACATTCAAAATAAGTGTCCTCTTTTGGCTACATAATGAGAACATGAGATTATAAGAATATTTTTATGCCCCAAATCATATCCTTGTTTTAACTAGTTTTGAAAGACAAAGCAAAAATTATTAATGTAGATTGGAAAATACATACCATTTTTTGAATCAAGCAGTATCAAGATTTTTTTATACACACACACACACATTCACACATACACATAATGCTAAGAAGCTTCCCCAGAAGACTTCAAACTGGAAAACTCTGCCTCACTACTAGAAAGCGAAAGGGTTCATAACAACCTAGGCAGTATCTCCATGGAAATAGATTGCAATCTTCCTTTCGAGGAGTGGCTGGTGCGTTTGAATGTCCAGCCTTCTGGTTAGCAGTTAAATGCCTTAGGCACTATGCTACCAGGGCTCCTGAAAGGGTTGCAAGTCATTCTATTTGGGATCAACAGTCATGGGTGTGTGATGGAACTAGAGCACAGTGTTTGAAGAGCACGTACATACTGCCTTGATTCAGTAGCACTGTGGATGATTCATGTATGACTCTCTGTTCTAATGCTTCTTTTCGTCTTTCTAGGCGTATTCACTCTCTTCTATGTCAGCAACCAGTTTCGGACTTTCCCCTTCTCCATTAAGGACCAGTGCATAATTTTCTACAGTGGTGTTCGAGGAGCTGGAAGTTTTTCACTTGCATTTTTGCTTCCCCTGTCTCTTTATCCTAGGAAGAAAATGTTTGTCACTGCTACCCTAGTAGTTATATATTTTACAGTGTTTATTCAGGTTAGTAGATTTCTTTCATATTTAAACTAAATAGCTTCTTTCAGGAATATATATTCAATTTCTATAATACAACAATAACAAAAAGCACTTTATCTGATTTTCAGGTCTATACTCAATATAAAAAAATTCTCAGATATTTTTAGATCATGTTTGTGGTCTTCCTTTAACCTCTAAAATATGTTGCCTTTCAATCAATAAAGCATATTAATCAAAATACTACTAAGTAACAGGTGAATGATAGCTATTCTACCATGCATTTCTGAAAATGATATTCTAAATAATAAGAATTTTCTCCTTTATTTTTAATTTTGTCCTTTCTTTAATACTAGACAGCATGAATTTTTGTTTTAACTAAAGTTAGCTCCATCTAACTAAAATAACCAAAGCTATTTTAAGAAATGAAATCAAATTCTTGTTTTAAAATACAGACAATAATACCTATTCTTATTGCAGAACCAAAGGGTTAATTAAAAACTAAAGTAGTTAACCCTGACATATTTATTTGTACAGAAAAAGCCAGTACAAATACACAGACACACACACAAATTACAGATCCTAATAGTTTTGCTAATAGATTTGCTGTATGTAGTAACACTCTCCACCACAACAAATCCTTTATTTTTTTATTTGCAATCTAGGGAATCACAATTGGTCCTCTTGTCAGGTACTTGGATGTTAAAAAGACCAATAAAAAAGAATCTATCAATGAAGAGCTTCATATCCGTGTAAGTTATCTGTTTCTCATAATTAATGAATTTTTAAAAAATATTCCTGATTTGTCAGCTGTGGAAGTAATCTGTAGCTTTGATGAGATACGTATTTATAACTAGACTTACAGCCTCTTTCTTCCCCAGCTCCACATAGAATTACTTTACTAGTTTCCTGCTGCTGCTGTAAGAAATCACCACAAATTTAGTGACCTAAAACAACATAAATTTATTATCTTATAGTTTTGAAGGTCAGAAGTCAAAAATGGCTTTCATTGGGCTAAAATTAAGGTGTCAGGAGGCCTGCCTTCCTTTCTGTAGATTCTAGGGGAGAATCAGTTTTCTTGCCTTTCCAACTTCTAGAGGTTGCCTGGATTCCTTGGTTCATGCTATTCCATCCTCAAAGCCAGCAATGGCCAGTCTAATCTTACATCACATCACTGTGACATTGACCTTTCTGCTTCCCTCTTCCCCATTTAAGGGCCCTTATAGTTCTGGTGGTATAGTGCCTAAGGCATTTAACTGCTAACCAGAAGGCTGGCAGTTCAAACCCATGAGCCACTCCATGGAAGGAAGATTGGGCAATCTACTTCCATACTGACACTGCCTAAGAAACCCAAGGAGGGGTTGTCATGAGTTGGATCCGACTTGATGGCAGTGAGTTTGGCTTTTGTTTTGTTTTTGTGGTTATTAAATGGGCTACATGACAATAGCTTTTGATGATTACATTGGACTCACCTGGATACTCCATGATAGTCTCCCTGTCTTAAATTCACCTAATTATCAACTCTAATTTCACCTGTTCCCTTAATTCTTCCTTGGTATATAATTTGAAATATTCACAGGCTCTCAGAATCAGGATGTAGGCATATTTGGGAGGTTAGCCATTATGGTGTCTACCATAATCAGTCATCTGACTACTGAAAATTTATATCTGTCCCAGGTACAGAATACAGTCATTCTACCCTCACATCCGACTCGATGGCACATAACAACAACAACAACAACCCTCACATCATCAAATGTCTCAACCCATTACAGCATCAACCCAAAGTTCAAATTCTCATCTAATCTTATCAACCTAAAAGTGTCAAATCTCATCATTTAAACTAACTAAATTAGGCATGGGTGACTCTCTGAGCATAATCCATCCAAAGGCACAATTCCTGTAAATCTATGAACCTGTGAAACTCAGGAAACCAATTATCTGCTCCCAAAATACCATGATGAGGCAGAGTAAAGATGGTGTGGGTGTGGCATGACCTCCTCTAATTTCACAAGTGAGCAGGAGGATCAAGATCAACATCAATAGCCCAAGGCTGATTCCTATGGGGTAAAGGTCAGACATGTCACTACCCTCCTGTCTTTTTGTTAATTCTAATGATACCCATTGTCCTTCCCTTGGCATGTTCTACTTCTCTGAGGGTTTGATAATTCATTGCAACAGTCTAGAACTCTCAGACAATACTCCTAATCATGGAAATTTTGGGAGAAGTAACAGACTACAGTTCAGGATCAGGAACACTCAGTTTACAATTCCTCTATCAGGACAGGTTCCCTCCTCTAGGTCCAAAGGCAAGTCTCTCTCTGGCCCTTGGCCTCTTGACCTGGCCTGTGCCTTCATCAAGCAAGTATTACAAAGCTCTTTTAACCCTATGAATAATTTCCCAGATGCCTGAACGCACTCAACTTTCTTGCTCTGGGGCCCAGGAAGCCCATTGCTCTTTTTCATGCCAGTCTCTTGGTTTTGCTGCCTCTGCTGCTGCCATTTCTCTGTGGCTGCTTCTCACCATCTCTGATGTCACAGCTCTGTCTACTGGGTCTAGGAAGTTTAGGGCAGGGATCTTGGGCATAAAGTATACTTTCTACTCCTGGCTCTTCATACTTGATGGCAGTGAGATCCACTCTTTCTACCTCTGGGATTGTTCATTTTAAGCCTAGCAGGATGACAAAATTGACCAATCTCTAAGTTAGTGTTCCACACAACTTATTTACATGGTGTTACTTACACAAATGTGCCATGTACCTTATTTACATTATTAGTAAGCTATTCAATCCCTTTGGTGGGCCACACTCAGCTCCCATGTACACAGTCGCATACAGTCATCCAGTGGGAGTCACAAAGACCATGGCTAGAAGGGCCATACAAGCAATTCACTGCACCATAGGCAGGCACAGGTAATAGTTACAGGCCTTTCCTTTCAAACTAGGGAGAAAATGGGAAAAAAATGAATAAATAAGGAAAAAAGGGTCACAAGCAAATTCAAAATCTAACTGGGAAAACTCTATTTGGTTTCAAGGCCTGAGTATAATCTTCTGTGTTTCTTTGCTCCATCTCCATGCATTCAGTTCCATCCTTTAACTAATAATTCTTTTCTCATGAAAGGTAGCATTATCAGCTCAGTAGTTTATCAGCCTGTTTCTTACACCAGAATTTTGGGGTTTTCAATCTTCTTTCCTGTTGTCCTCTCTCTGTCTCTTTTGATATAGCTGGACTGATTCTGTCAGAGTTCATTCAAAGAAGCTGAATAGATATTAAAAGATGAAGGTTGGGCAATCCTACTTCTGTAGTGATACTGCCTCGGAAACCCAAGGAGGGGTCGCTATGAGTCGGGGCCGACTCGACGGCACACAACAACAACAACAACA